AAGTTGCAATTCTCGAATGAGATTTGGTCAAAACGATTCTAAATCCAAATTAGGATCTTTGACTTGATAAATCCATTCACGAGATTAGCTCTAAATTGCAATCCTGTGCGGAACTCCAGGCTGTCTAAGTACAGTTGGTTGGGATTAACATGATGCAGATCTAGATTAATCAAGCAAGTTTTTAATGACCCATCTTGATTATCTTTTCTTAGTCTTGACTCTTATAAAACGCCTGACCTTTTTGTTTTTTTTTCTTCTCTATAATTCATGGATACCTACGTGAAGACTCGTCTACTCGAAAGCTAATGAAACATTGTACAATTTCCACAAATCAGTTAAGTTTTGGACTCTTTTTGGTTCCTAACAATTGACCTTTTTCCTTTTGCGAAAATCACCCAATCAGTTCTAAACCTATTGTACGATATCTATTCAGTCTTCAACTTTTTAATTTTACCAATTTAGTGCTAAACCTTTTGATTATCCGCCAACGAGTCCTCATGGTCAATTTTCGCAAGAAATCGCTGACTTAGCAGTCCGGTCGTCACCGGTTGCAATTTAAGGGAAAAAGTGAAAAGTTTCTTTTCTTTATAGAGGAGAATGAACAAACCCAATAAATCACCAGCTATATATTGATATGGGGTTGGCATATCTGCCTCTTCCGCACTATTTTCTCACTTTCCTTTGGCAAAAAATGAAAATTTGGAGTTGACTTTTAATCGAGTAGTTTAAACCATAGCGAACAGTTTAAATAAACTAAATTTTCACGTTTAGCATGATGCACCTTGGCTTTAATGCTGAAAGGACAGATGCCAATACTATGTTAGTAAGTTCTCTTTTGTTTTTCCTTTTGCATCTTGCGGATAAGAATTATGAAACACCTTGCAAATCTCATGAGCTTATTAAGTTAGGCCTTTGCTGGTGCGGACGCAATGCTGGTGGATTTCTAGAGCATTCAAGAAGCACGGGCGGCACCGGGACAAAAATGTCGCGCCGTGCGTGAGACATTGCCCATAACTTTTGATCCCGAAAGAGTTACGGGGCTCAGCATGCAAATTCGAAAAGACTGCCCACAGTTGTGTTTGGGGGCAATTTTTCTATATTGATGTCTATTTTTCCCATTCTATTAGATTTTTTGTCTATTTTCCTTAGATGGTGCGACATTACGGATGGTTTGTTGTTTAATTATTTATTATATTCGATGTTTTAGACAACTTTGATCATTATTTTCAGTAATACAAAAAATAAAGTAGTCTGAAAATTTTGGCTTGTGAGCATTTGTTTGCGCATGAGTGCAGTGTCGCAAGTTTAACCGTGTATGCCACACCATTTCTATCGCATCAATTGGTATTAGAGCCGGCAATACCGCTAAAGAGCACAGTTAAGTCTATTCTTGATAACAGTGCAAGCAACTATCCCACTACCGAAGATCAGGAGGATGCAGGCCTTATTGATGACTTCTCATCGTCTCGAGGCATCTCAACAAACCACAGAACATGATCTGCGATGGACTCTGGATATATTCATTGAGCAACTTAATTTCGAAGAAACTTAAATACGGATAACGAAATGGCATCGCAACTGAGTAATGCCCCCCTGCCAAACTTTTGAAGCTACTCATTGCAGTGGTTCAAAACAACAATGGCCATTTCGTCAATCGAGAGGAATTCGATTCAAACGGGATTTATGCAAAGTACGGACATCGTGTGGGGTGTGATGGCCGCGATGATTCGTGATTGCCATAGAGGTCGTGATAACTACGTCGGACGTGATGGTTAGTGTAGTAGGGAACATCACGGCAATCAAAATTACACATGGTGTTTAAGGATTAAATGTTTCCAACTTCAAGGTAAGGAATTTGCTTCGTTTCATGCTTCTTGAGTCCTTGGATTGGCTTGAAGAGGTGAATCGTATGATTTTTCTTTTAATTATGAAAGGACACCCTAGACTAGAGGCTAGAGCATTGAAAAGTGAAATGCTAGGATAGCGTAATAATTGAAAGATAGAGAGCATTAATGATGGTGGGAAAGATCTGAAGGAGAGGATCGACATGGAGCGTTGTCACTAAAGCAGTGGATTTTTTTTGCTGACAGACTAATGATGCCCATGATCAAATTCGACACCACGCACACAAAAAGGTCAAAAAGAAATCGCCGAATTTACATGCCGTCGTAGAATATTCACCTTGTCAATCATCGGAAATTTACGCGAGCTAAGTCAGAAATCCATTTAAAAATGATTATAAAATACCTTGTGTTGTTTATTTTATTAAGAAAAGGCGTCTTTCTATTACGACGACGACGACGACGAAAATTACGTGTCTGTTACACAAAATCATAGAAATAATCAAATGGAGTTTTATTCTGTAATATAATTCTCTAACATAACTCAACAAATATGATATTATACCCTTTAAAAAATGTCTACTAATTAACTCTACATCTCCCCCAACGTACTTGTTCTAGATTCGTCGTTGCGAATAATGATTGGTAAATTCATGTAGCTTTGGTAACAAGGACAATTGAGAGTTTAGTGGAAAAATAAAAAAAAGTCCATGATTTCTTAATTGTCGAAAAAGAGTTAACCGTCTCGTAAAACTACCGATTCCTAATAAGAGATTAGAAAAATCATTCGACCGGATCTTTTTCTACCAGCGGTTTCTTGACACACATAAACTCTTTTCAAAATCTGTCGACCCAAACAAATTAAAAATCCTATTCTTTATATATATATATATATATAATATCGAGGGCTAGTCCCACAGAAGCTAATTTTTCTGCGGAGGCGGTGATCACGATCGACGAGGAAAGGGGCTTTTCTCAACGCTACTTCCTAGGGCGTCGTAGGGTAGTCTTTCTAAAAGCTTCTCTTCTTCTTCTTCTTCTTCTTCTTCCAAGCTTTATGTTCTTAAGATAAACTAATGTAATCCCACCACCACCGTATGGTCGGTTCCCCCAATCTCTTTTGTCTTTGGATTCACAATCATCGCCAAGATCATCTCTATAACCCCCCCCCCCCCCCCCCTCTTTTTGACGACTTTTTGACAGACCCCTAATTCGCGAGTCCCGGGGGTCACGAAATCATATCATATCGAACCGCCATCACACGAGCTCATCGCGCACGCCGAAGAACACGATCGTGTTTTTCGGGAAATTTCATGTCATTTCGTGGGGGTCGCTTTCGAAATTGTTGGCAACCTGTTTTCATTGACGTGTAGAATTGCGTAAGCTGGGTTTGGAAATCGCTGGCCAAGGGTACTTTGAAAATCGCCGGCCGAGCTACTTGTTTGTTGTGAGGAGAATATTGGTATGGTTACGAAGTTAACTGTGTTAATTAAGGGTTGAGTCTCCCTCTATATTCACATAGCATTCTTCTTCAACCTCCATGGAGGAAAGGGTTTGAGCTAGATCTCTCCCTCCCCTTCCTTTTTCTTTTTTTTTTTGCTGATTTGGTTCTTTGTTCTCTTTTTCTTATTTTCCTCCCGTTTTGAGGAGTCTTTTTCTTATGATCTAGTCTAGATCTAGAAGTTTTTCTCTCCCATTTCGAAGAGATTTCTATTCCGATCTAGTTTAGATTTAGGGGTTTTTTGCTTATATGATTTTGGGGTTTCGCTTTCCTCGGATTTTGTTAGTGTACAAGTCCAATTTCGAAGGAGATCGGATGAGTTTTGCGAATGTTTCGCTCTTACAGGTATCAGATCTGTGCGTGTTTAATCTTGTTACTCTGCACGGCAATGATGCTGGGGACGCTGAACCTTGGTGCGCACCGCCGAAAGGCAAAGCCATTGCAACAGATAGAAATCTCGATGTGTGCTTATTACTATAAACGAAATCGATGATCGGCTACTGACTTTGGTTTGAAGAAGTCTCAGATTTGCTCTTTGAGTGTGTGACCCATAACCTTGTTATGATGATTCATCTTCTTATCTAGAATTTGTTGTCTTAGTTTGTAGTTGGACTGCGTAACTCTATTGTATATACGTGGAAATGAATAAAATATTTCTTTGACCAAAAAACAAATTAAGGGTTGAGTGCTTGACTAAGAGAGTTTTTCATTTTTGGACGATTTTTATATTGGGATTCTGCCTCCTAAATTACCTAAAAACTCAAAATTATTTAATCATTGGTCTTTCTAGTGCGAGTTTACTGATAAACGTTGCCTAATCCTACTCTATTTTGTTTAATTAAAATTGCAATACAAACAAATTAGGGAACTAGAATCTGATTTTTGATTTAAATTTAGACCAGATTCATTACCTTCGAAATCAAAGTAATTTAGTCTGAAATTGAGTAAAGAAGCAAGATTGGAATGTCTTATATTTTCGTTAAAACACGTCGAATATGATTTATTGCTTAAAGCATTTATTTTCTTTTCTCGTCTCGAATTGACTCTTTCTTTCTTTTCTTTTTTAACATGGAAGTCTAAATCCACCTTTTTAATTCGGTAAGAGTTAGGTCATTCGTGAAAAGGCTACAACGAAAAGATGGGTAATCCTAGATCACTCCATCTAAGCTAGCGAGTCATTTTCCATTAAAACACAGACGACCTTCGTAACCAACTTACTTGTTTAAGACTTGTTCATTGCGATTCTTCACGACCAATTCGATCGATCTCTAATGTCAAAGATCACGATTATTCTATTGAACCTCATTGCATACCGAATAAATCGTGCCACACGGATTGGATAACACTATTTTAGGTACAGATCACGTCTATAGATAATTACATTTTGTGATTCCTAAAAACCTTATTATAGAAGATAATAAACCGTTTTCCATAAAATGAAAGTACGTATCCCATTTCGAATTTAGAGAAAGAGTACAAAAGTGGCCCGTGTGTGTTTTTTTAACAATTAACTAATTATCAAAATCAATAAAAATTGGGTATTTTTATAACAAAAAATTATTTTCGTTTGGTGCATGAAAATGCGTGTCCAATACATTATGCTGCAGCTGGAGCGTTTCGCTTCGCCTCTGATAAATACACACCTCGGTCTATCTCCTCCCCGCTGTCCGCTTCTCACTACTTCTCAGAAGAAGAAGAAAGAAGAAAGGAAGAAACCACCATCGAGATTCCTCTGAATCTCACCTGTGTCGCTTTCCATATCCTTCCCAGATTCGCCATTTTCGCCTCGCCAACCATGCTCCGATCTCTTGCCAGGTCTCTCTCTCTCTCTCTCTCTCTCTCTCTCTCTCTCTCTCTCTCTAGCTTCGTAACCCATCTATTTCCATGGAACATCTGGTGCAAACCATAAGCTCACCATCGAGCCGCTTGTGAACTTATCTGACCCTTTTAGTTTTCTCTCGCTCTCTTTTTTGCCGTCCACGATGTCAGGGAGTTCCAGCTCGTGGCCCCCGTCGCATTCCGGAGGCGCCTGGCGTCGTACTCCACCAGAGATGCCGGCGGCGCCGCCAATGGCAGGAGGTACGCGAGCTCCTCCCTTCATCTAACTCTGTGTGCTTGCTACTGATCTGTGTTAGGTGGTCGCGCTCCTGGTTCTGTTGTTTTTCTTTGGAAGAACTCGAAGGGTTCTTCTCTTTTCTCTTTTTATTTTTCCTGTTTGATTTTGACTTTGGAGATTAATTTTGGATTCTAATGGCCGTTTTTGCAAAGCCGTTGACTAATTTTTCTTTTGTTCCTTTGTGCTATAAAACATCGTATATTGGAAACCTCAAACCCGTTTCTTGGTTTTTTCTGGTCTCTTGATGAATCTGAGCTTGGGTTTATTCCATCTCTACATTAAAGTATAGATTTCGATTCTTATGGTAATGATAATCCATGATTAATTGATCGATTAATTCCATATGATTCTTGTCAAATTTAATAATAAGAATCAGATATGCATTGCTATTGTGTTACACCTTAAACCTCAAATCATGAAATAAACGAGATCGATGACACTTGCAAATTCAATCTGTCTCTTTCTTTTTTTCTCGACCTTTTAAGGTTTCTTTTACCACTTTTGTTAGTCGAATTACTTAAATAAGATATCTTCCTTTTTCCCCTTTCAATCGGCTCGCATTAAATTATTAATTTCGCCGCCTTCAAATTTTGGCAAACAAAAAGAAAAAAAATTCACGACGTTAACAAATTTCCACCTTTTTTGCATATTCTCATGAAATTTCTGAAATTCTTTTAGCAATTTATGTTAGTCAGCATAATATTCTATCTATTAAACTATCAATTTCGTATTTAAGAATTACAGATGAACTTACTATAAATCAACATGGATCTGGTCTTCTTGATGGGTTGCGTACATGTGCTTTGCGGCAACCATTTACGGAAAAAATCACTAAGAATTTGGGTAATATATGACATACGTGAAGCACATGAAGGGACATAATAAAAAAAAAAGATGTAGGACTTTATTATCCATAATTTAAAACTGTGCTAAGAGTCGGATCTTACACAAAACTCGCACGATATTATGCCGCATATTCAGCATCTCCATTTATAATAATAACAATAATATCATTATTTTTTGCGTTTATATCAAAATTGTTTTCCTCTCCTCCTATAGTCATGTTTTCCTATGCCAGAGAACAGCTTACTTGCCGATGATCTTCGTTAATCGTTTCATTAGTTTCATACTTAATAAAGTCAATTTCTTCCTAATATTTTGAGCATTTGTACTGTATATTCGCACCGAAACTTGCGTCCTAGACTAGAGGCCAAAAAAAAAAAAATTATGTTTAGCGGAAGATGTCGCATTGCTCGGACCGTGGTTTTCACGATTTTAGGCTTGCATTCATCAAATCTCGAATTTGAATATGGTTCGTTTAATAAGGCAGCGAATAAATTAAAAAAAAAAAAATTGATGAGGAATATTCTCACCTTCCTTTTCATGTTGAGATTTGAATTTAACCAAAAAATATCACATCTTAAGGATAATCCTCTTAACCCTTTATTTAAAAGATCACCAAAAACCCTCTTAGTAATATGAACTATATTTATAGAATTGTTTTGTTTTGGACGGTGACACCAAATGTCTAGTCCATAAAAAGAGCAATTTGCCCTAATCTACACATGATTGGACGTTCATAATGTTGGTCACATCAATTTGATATAACATTTCTCTGTTGCTCTCTTATCTTCCTTTAAGCTTCTGGTCAAAAGACATCGACTAGTTTTGTCTTTCCATCGCATAAGTTTTCTAATTGGCAATGATTAATGAATCGCCTCATGATTGATTTTGATAAGCAGACTTGTGGGCAAAGTGGCCCTTATAACTGGAGGTGCGAGTGGGCTTGGTAAGGCCACGGCCCATGAATTCATCCAGAATGGAGCCCAAGTCGTCATCGCGGACATCGACTCTGAGCTCGGCCCGCAAGTGGCCCAAAGCTTAGGCCCCTCGGCCCACTACGTGAGCTGCGACGTGGCCGACGAGGCCCAGGTGGCTGACGCGGTGGACGCCACGGTGGCCCGCCATGGGAAGTTGGACATCATGTACAACAATGCCGGCATAACGGGCCCGGCGTACCCCCCGAGCATCGTCGACCTTGACCTGGACAAGTTCGACGAGGTCATGAGGATCAATGTCCGTGGCGCAGTCGCCGGGATAAAGCACGCGGCGCGGGTCATGATATCGGCAGGCTCGGGGTCCATCCTGTGCACGTCCAGCATTAGCGGGATCATGGGCGGGCTTGGGCCTCATCCCTACACGGTATCCAAATTCGCGATCCCGGGGCTCGTGAAGTCGGCCGCCACCGAGCTGTGCCGCCACGGGGTCAGGATCAACTGCATCTCGCCCGCCCCGATCCCAACGCCAATGTCGGTGGGCCAAATAGCACAATTTTACCCCGGCTTGACGCTAGAGCAGGTGGCCAGGATCATAAACGGGCTCGGGGAGCTTAAAGGGGCCCATTGCGAGGATGCCGACGTAGCCAAGGCCGCGTTGTACTTGGCGTCGGACGAGGCCAAGTACGTGACGGGCCATAACCTGGTAGTGGATGGAGGGTTCACTTGCTTCAAAAATTTGAGCTTCCCTTCTCCAGATCAAGTTGTGTAACGTTGGCACTGTTTTAACAGGTTCATAGTCCGTTGTTTTTCGATTTGTCCCCCTCTCCTTCTTGTGTTCTTCGTTTTTTACAATTGTTTAGTGTAATTAGTGAAGATGAATGAGTGATTCCAATGGTTGACTTATTCTTTTGAAAGTACCATTTGGGCCGTCGACAAGCACAAAACCAGCTTGGGTCCATCAGTGGGCTACTGCTATGATGACAGATGGAGACAAGGAGAGCGGACAATGTGGATGAGGAATTTGGATCACTCAATTTAAGGAATAAGGATACAAGAATCAGGTTGTCTTGGTTCCTAGACAATCATACTCCTCCTGCTAAATGGCGACCTGCATCTGTAGAAATGGCGACTTGCACCTGTGTATGTATGTGTAGTTTGGGTTAATTGTGATCTTAGGACATAAGTTGATTTTGGTAAATAAGTCACACGTTGAAGTGGCCGAACTTTGGAGAGGAATGCAAAAGAGCAAGAGTGATTCTGATAGCTTTCGAGACGCTTATTAAATAATCAAATAAGAAGAGTACCATTTGAAGCCGAAGGACGGCAACATCCGGAGCGACGTGCTGCTCCCGAGTGGGACTCTACCGGAGCTCGTCGGATATACCCCGAGATGAAACCGAAGCCCGTCGACCCGTCGTCGAACAATCGCTGTCGTGGCCGTCTCGGTATCGTTTGCAACCCTGAGGGACTTCAGGGCCCCAGCACCTGGTTAAAAATCAGTAACGTGGATAGGTCGTTTCACGCGGTCTCGTGGTCCAAGTGATCACTGACTCTTGCCCATTGTTCACTTGTAAGTCTCGTTCGTCTACCCAATGGTTACCTAGACAGAGGTCGTTCATGCACAGAGCAAAGCCTTGCCCTTCTGCTTCGCATCGTTCAGTGACACAGGAAGAGGATTTCGAGTTTCAAGAAATATCCTAGGGTTTCGACCTAGTGAACTCATCGAGTAGGAAATCAAATTAGTCAGACCGGGGGTGCGGGTAACGATCTTGCCGGGACAGATTGTTTTTGTCTCTTACACGCCTCCATAAACGACAAGGTTTGGGCAACGGACCTCAATAATACAGTAAATACAGTTTTGAGGGTGTCGCTAGGATGAGCACATAGTAGTAGTGACACATTGTTGTGAACACTCAAAGTTCTGTTCTTCCTATATAAGAAAGCTTGAGGCCAGAGAGGCAAGAGAGAGCAAGCGACCAACCACCCCAGTTCGCACCGAAATTACAAAGGGAGGCATCCCTGAGGGGTCACCTGGTAACACATGCGGTGTTTTGACGTGTGTATTCGTATCCGTATCCGTTCATATGATTTGCACTGTTATATCAACACCTATGATTTCAGGTTACCCTTTTGGAATGATTACATTCCTTCCCTTCTGCATCACAATAGCCCTCCCAGGTCAATTTAATAGGGTAACAACATGTCGTCGAGAGCAGCGGGCGGCTCTGACTACTTCTTTGTATAGTCGAGATCGGTGACATGCCTTCGGGGTTCGGTACCATGGTTGGGACACTCTAAAAATCAGTCGTCTTCGTGGTTGGTGGTCAGATCTTGTTCTATACGTATTCCGGGAATCTCCATGCCCTTTCTTTTCATCCCCATGATTCCTTCTTACAGTTATTGAAACAAGCACGCTACAATTAACAAAAGTAGATTTGAGTCTGCCAAAGTTAAACAAGAAGGAAAAATTTTAGGAATTCGTTGAAATACCGCACAATGGATACGGTCCCTCCATCCTCCGAGCATACATATTTCTGTTTTCCCTCTTGTGTTCAAGATGCCAACAGACATGCCTGGGTCCATACTTGGTACCACGCATATATGGACATTGATTGAATGGTTTTGTTGTCTGTCCGACCTCGAGACAATTCTTGTTGGCCTTAATTGGCCTAGTGCGTAACAGTTTAAGACTCGTGGTTCTTCAGGATTTCCTGTTCTCTTTGGGCGTCCCCACCACACCTTACCCTCCCAACCACCAGGCCGGATGCCTCATTGAAATCTTTTTTATTATTGTAAGTGTATCATGAGTTTGTACTCTCCCCCCCGCCATGGATGATTGGGTGGTGGGCGACTTAATTTGCGAGTCGAACTTTGCAAGTCACAAGCTTGATCGAGTGTCTTGTCTATCCTCGGTTTCAAGAAACCTTGGCTAGTTTATAAAGGAAAGGTGTGGTTAAGGTGTATCGTCGGTCTCGGGCTCTCGACTCGCATAATAAGGGCATGGGTGGCTGACTCTCCCAATCGGGCAGCAGTGCGCGGGCTGAATCGTGACTTTAAACTGAATGTTCTCGTATGGGTGATCTATATAGTTCATCAACGCTAGACACCCTTTTAGGAAAAGGAAAACTCACGAATTTATATTAACGCATTGTTTATCGCTAAATCAAGAAAGCCCCACTCCTTCTCTTTGCCTTCTCTTTTGTAATGAAAATGACACAAACGGTACATAAACTTTAGCTCAACGTGCAATGTGGTCCTTGAACTTTAGCCCCATGTGTAATGTCATCCTTGAACTTTTATATTATTTAATGTAGTCTCTGAACTTTTGGTATATGTTCAATTTGGTCATTGGACTATATGAAAATGTTATATATTGTTCCTGAACTTAAATTAATGAATGGACAACATCGAACATTTTCATAAAATCCAAGAACTAAATTGAACATGTATCAAAAGTTCATGTACCACGTTGCACATTAAGTCAAAGTTCGTGGACCATTTATGCCATTATTTCTCTTTTGTGCTGATTCGAAGATATTAACTTTTACATTAAGTTACTAATTCAACTCTATGGTTTGGCCATCCATGTTGGAACTAGACAATTCATAAGGAATCACTTTCTAACGACCCGGTCCTATGTAATTACCGCCGTGGTCTTAACATTAATAATGACATTTGCAAGAACAAAGTACGACTAAAGTTTCTTTCTCTTACTTTCTCTGTTTACTTAACCTAATCTAGTGATACTCCATCATCTCTCCTCGTCCGGAGAGTCCCAAAGATCTATCTTGCACACAAATTCGGTCCCCACATACTCATGCCAATCTATGGTCCAAAGTAAATGTGGCACAGCCCATCAACGATATTCAATCTCTCGATTCAAATATTGGGAAAAAGAGGGAAAAAGAGGAAAATTAATGTACATTGAATGCGAACGAACAAAAAGCAATAAGAGGGCTCATGTTGCTACTTGGACATGCCATATATGCCATGCACCAATCCCTGAGCAAGTGGAGAATTAGAGATGAAGTTGGTGATGATAACTCTCTCTCTCTCTCTCTTCAATCATAAACAGCTCTAAAAGAAAGCGACCCCTCCTCCATATATACACATGAAAATATTCAAAAGATTTTTCAATTTTTGGGTCATTGAATGTGTGAGGAAAGTGCAAATTAAAACTCCATGTCTACAGTAGATCTAAAAGTTCATTTACTATTATCAATTTTTTTAACGGGACGAGTCACGAGATGTGCAACCCACGTATTAATGTGCAAATGCCCCACTGCATAAGTCGCCAGAGAATTCCCTTTCCTGGTGTAGCTCCCAGCCCCACAAGCTGTCACTATAGAGAGGTTCCCATGCAAGCCTGTCATGTTGGGTTTTCAGTACATCTCGATGTCCATTTCAAGCCTACAAACTGGGTGGGAGCTTATGTTAGGTCAATCATGAGGGGAGAAGCCTCTTTGAGGAAAACCCTATTGATCTTTTTTACTAAGCTACCTTTAACTAATTGACTTTTGCGGGTGCAGGAGGCATGTCCTTATGTCACGTGGCTATCAATTCACATCGTCTCCGACCAGTATCGTGGTCGAATTCTTATTCACGAATGAATCAGGAAAGCCAACAGAAAGGTTCGACTCTTGCTTCATAGAGCCAGTGCTGTTGTTGGCTGCGCGTAGGGCCGTTTCCCCGTTCTTGTCTCGGGGAGCTAAGGAGAATTTGTTTTTTTGGAATGGACAAGAGTGTTGTGCCAAAGCCTAGAATCAAGCTTTTGTGATGACGGGTGTCTTTTTGCCCCCATTTGCTAGTAGATGGAAAAATTGTCCAAAATATGCTAAAACTATTATACAACAACCAATTCAATTATAGACTTTTCAATTGTGTCAATTAGTCCTAATCCTTTTGACAACCTACCAATTTAGTCATAAACCTTTCAATTGTGCCAATTTAGTCCTAAATCTTTTGATGATCTGTCAATTTAATCATAAACTTTTTAATTATTTATGGTCAATTTTGATCGGAAATCACTAACATAGCGGTCTAATCAGCGTCGACTATCCTAAGTGGCACGGCCGGTGATGGTATAGACAATTTTTACTATTGTTTTGTTTTTCTTTTTCCCTTTTGCCCTCCGTCAACCATCGCTGGGACTCGTCGATGGCCGGCGGAGGTCGCTAGCCTTAGACGAGGGTTGCCCTTGTTGGCCTCGGGCGAAGGACACCCTTGCTTGGGCTAGCGAGGGTCGCCCTCACTTGGGCGGGTGTGGGCTGCCCTCGCCTGAGGTCGGCAACCTCTGCTGGCCATCGCTGAGACCTGGCGATGGTCGGTGAAGGAAAAAATGGAGAGAGAAAAAGGAAAAAAGAAAAAAGGAAAACAAATACAAAAATTATAAAAATTGTCTACGTCAAACTAGACCGCCACGTCAGCGATGTGATAAATCATTAAAAGGTTTAGGACTAAATTGGTAAACCATCAAAATGCTTAATACTAAATTGGCACAATTGAAAGGTTTAGAACTAAATTTTGTAAAAAAAAAAAGGTTTAAGACTAAATTGGCAAGTTGTCAAAATGTTTAGGATTAAATTAGAACATTGAGAGGTTTAGGATTGAAATGGCCTCTGCATGATAGGTTTTTGATTTTTTGGCCAATTTTTTTCTAATAGACTGACGGGTTGCACACTGGACACTCGTATTTTGGTCCCTCGCATCATTGAATGTGTATCATTTGCACAATTATTTACAATTACAAAATGCCATTGAAATCCTAATTCTCTCTTGAGCCTTGCCATTGCTATCTTGTCAAGAGATCGAGATCGAGATCGAGAGCGCTCAATTTGTGACGAGGAGGGGCAAGGCTCAATGACGATGAAGATGAACCCATGCTGCATGGTGAAAAACAGCGG